CATCACTGAAGAAGATCTAGGAGGGGTAAGAGGGCCGCATGACGACCCTATCGTCATTGAATGTAAAGTGGCCAACCAAAGAGTTGGCCGAATCCTCATAGATACCGGAAGCTCCTCAGATCTCATCAGTAGCAAATGTCTGTCGAAACTAAAATATCAGACTGATTGCATACATTCAGCATCCCACCCTTTAGTAGGGTTTGGAGGAGGAGTCGTCCACCCACTGGGACGAGTGGATTTACCCATCCGCCTGGGCGAAAAAGGGGAAGGACGACACATGGTAGTCCGGTTCCTGGTAGTAGAAGAACTCTCGGCCTACAACATGATTCTGGGACGACCAACCTTGAATAATTCCAAGGCTGTTATAATCCCATCTCTTATGTTTCTCAAGTTTGAGAGGGATAATGGAACAGTCGGCTCCCTAAGGGGAGATCAGAGGATGGCCCGAGAGTGCTATCTCTCGGATGTCAAGCCCACTGTTATGGCCACTGGGTCAAGTGGTGAAAAAACAGACCTTGACAATGTCAAGGAGAGTGCGCCTGTTCAAGAAGCAGGCGGCAAGAAGAGAAAGGCATCCCAGACAGGGGCCGCAAGAAAAGAAAGAAAATAGCAATCATTGGCAGAGGAGCGGTCGGATGAGTTCCGCCCTCAGCCGGCTGGTGAGCTTACGGACCTGATCTTAGACGACTCACGTCCTGATCGAACCGTCAAAGTTGGGACGACTACTCTGAGAGACCTTGGTGACGACTTTCACAAACTATTGAAAGAATACAAGGACATCTTTGCATTCGAAGTCCATGAAATGCCAGGCATTAGTCCTGATCTGGCGGTACATAAACTGGCCGTGGATCCGAAAAAGAAGCCGGTACGGCAGAAGAAGCGGAACCATGGCGAAGAAAGAAGTCAGGCGGCAGCCGCCGAAGTTAAAAAATTACTTGACGCAGGGTTCATTAGGCAATGTTACTTCCCAGACTGGGTTGCAAATGTGGTGCTTGTTAAAAAGCCGAATGGCACCTGGCGAATGTGTGTAGACTACACAGACTTAAACAAGGCGTGCCCCAAAGACAGTTACCCTCTGCCCAAAATTGATAACCTGGTCGACTCAACAGCCGGCCATGCTTTGATGAGCTTTATGGACGCCTACTCTGGTTTCCATCAAATTCCTTTATGGAAGAAAGATCAGGAGAAGACGGCCTTCGTCACTGATCAGGGGTTATACTGTTACACGGTTATGCCGTTTGGTCTTAAGAATACCCCGGCTACCTTCCAGCGAATGATAAACACTGTGTTCTTTGATCAGATTGGGAGAAACGTCGAGGCATACATTGATGATATTATTATTATTATTATTATTATTATTATTATTATTATTATTATTATTGTTAGTATAATTATTTGTTAATATTATTATTATTACTAGTTTACTACTACTATTATTATAATATTATTATAATTATTATTATTATTATTATTATTATTATTATTATTATTATTATTATTATTATTATTATTATTAGTTTATTACTTATAAGTTATAAATTGTAAGAAACGCAAATGTTTCAAAATTGAAATTGATTCAATACGACATAGTTAATGACTTAATGAGTTAATGGCTTAATGCTCATCAATATGACAATATCTGACATCTGTGAGTCTGTGATTGTATATCAGTATATATAATAAACTATAAAACTAATAATAACTTAATAAGTAATAATACTAATAACTAATAAAGTAATGAAAATCTAACCATTGTTTTTCATGGGCATTCAATCTAACCGTTGTGTATTTGACTATTCGTACATTAGTATTGCATAATGCTTTCATCACCACTTTAATTAGTGATTTTGTGATTTCGTCCATTTAACTTATTAAGTTGTTTGAGTTAGTAATCTAAATAAAGTAACAAACTAAATAACGAATCCATTTAATCTCGTGTAAGTTATAATTTATAAGAAATGCAATGTTTGGAAATGGAAATTGATTCAATACGATATTGTTAATGTATATGTAATTATATTATTATGTATATGATGTATATCATATCGTACGAATGTACGGTTGGTATCATTATCATACTATCATAAGTATCATTGCCTCATTGAATTATTGGTATGTACTATAATCGATAAACATATTTAGTTATTTACATATCTGATCATTAAAACTTAAAAGTTTAAAACACTTGTTGATCAATCTAATTGAATACTTGTACATTCTTAATTATCGATTTATCGTATTATAAGTATCAACTCATTAAATCATGGTCATGATTTCGTGATTTCGTCCATTTAACTTATTAAGTTGTTTGAGTTAGTAATCTAAATAAAGTAACAAACTAAATAACGAATCCATTTAATCTCGTGTAAGTTATAATTTATAAGAAATGCAATGTTTGGAAATGGAAATTGATTCAATACGATATTGTTAATGTATATGTAATTATAGATTAATTATTATGTATATCATATCGTACGAATGTATGGTTGGTATCATTATCATACTATCATAAGTATCATTGCCTCATTGAATTATTGGTATGTACTACAAATCTACAATCGATAAACATATTTACATATCTGATTATTAAAACTTAAAAGTTTAAAACACTTGTTGATCAATCTAATTGAATATTTGTACATTCTTAATTATCGATTTATCGTATTATAAGTATCAACTCATTAAATCATGGTCATGACGCGATCTTTAAAACAATCATGAGTTCAATTCATGACCCAAACCGCTTATAAACCGAACCGACATGATCCAAACCGTTCATAAACCGAACCAATTGAACTGTGTAAACCCTCTACTAAACCGGCCCATTTCAAACTGAACCGACATGATTCGCACCGTTTATAAACCGAACCGATATTGACCCGGGTAAATCCGCCCCTAAACCGACCTATTTCAAACCAAACCGGCTTGATCCAAACCGTTTGTAAACCGAACTGACATTGACCCGGGTAAACCCGCCCCTTAAACCGACCCGTATCAAACCGAACCGACATAATCCGAATCGTTTATAAACCGACCCGCTTATGACCCAAACCGAATTTAAACCGCAAAGAAATAAACCGAAACCAAACCGAGCCGTGACTAACCCAAACCGAACCAAACCGACCCGCGAGCTAAACTAAACCGTTTCAATCCGAACCGCTCCAAACCGAAACCGACTCAAACCGAGGTCAAACCGAACTGCCAGACCGAAGTCCCACCCCTAAGTGTAACACTTGAAAAAACACGGAGGGAGTAAGCAATTTTTAGATACAAACCTAATAATTGTGAAAGTGACATGTCATGTTTATAATAACATGTGACGCATATTGCTGACATGTCGAACTTGAAAAAGGTTATACGTGAAACATATTCCGTTTTAGGAACACTTTTTAATATATAATAAAGTATAGATGTTAGATGTGCATAAATAATATGGATAATGGCGGATTTTAACATTTTCAATTCGGGATACTTTGTAAATCAAATCATCTGTTTCGAATTGCAATAGATCCGATTTAATCTAAGAAATTTAAGACCCAAACTCAATTTGTAACCAACCTATACCCAACCTAAATCCAAATTTAACCTTGCACCAATTTGACCCAACTCGAACACATCTCGAAAATGATTTGACCTAACTTCAACTCAATCTGAACTAGTTTGACCCAACCTAATAAACTCAATCTGACCCGAAAAATACCTGATTTAATCTGATTTGTTTTGATCCTAATTAATATCAACCTAACCCGATTTTAGCCCGGCATGATTTCAAACCAACAATTTAAATCAACCTATTATTGCTATTTTTTTTTTTTAATTTAAACAATTATTAATGACACGATATGAAAAATTACACATGAATGACCAGATGTCAACCTAATAATAAGGTAAAAACTCAATAACTACTCTAGTTTAAAAATAACCTTATTTGAATACTAAATTTTGGTCAATCCAACCAAAATATAGCCAAACACAAAAATGATTTGAATCGAGATTGACCCACCTAATTTCATCTCACCGAAACCAATCCGATGCAAAGTCATCCGACCTAAAATTAACCTGATCAAATCCATTTTGAACCCAATCCGAATTTATTCGAACCTTATATGAATCAATTTGAAGTTGACCCAATCCAAACCCGGTTTAAGGGCCTGTTCACTTCAGCTTAATTTCAGTTCAACTCAGTTCAATTCAGTTCAGTTTTTAATTTCCTTCTCTTATAAACAATTCAATTTAGTTAAGTTTAGCTCAACACAGCTCACTAAATATGAATATGCCCTAAATTATGTAGATCTTTACCCGAAATTGACAATTTGACTTGAGATTGGTTAAATGGTAATTTTGATCCGAACAAACTTAACCCGCCGTGGATATTCCCAACTTCCATCCGATTATTCGAATTGACAGCTCTTGTAGAATTAATGTGCCAACCACTAACAAACGCAATAACTGTCAATCTCTCATGTCCAAAATATTTAGGATCGAAGAGATTTTCCCTTTACTATTACAAACCCTCACTATAAAAAGGAAATACAAAATAACGTTACTCCTGTTTTAATAAGTGTTACGCTTATCACATCCGGCTATGTTTTAATAAGTATTATACTTTTTATTTTTTGGCAAAAAAGCTACATTAAAATAGTATATTTCTCTCCTTTCATGGTCCCCACCCAAACCCACTACTACTTTTTTATTATATTTTTCCTCTCACATTCATTACTTTTCAATAAACTATTAACCCAACTATCTTTCTTTTACAATTTTTTAACTCCAATTATCCCACTTGTCTCTTATTTTATTTAAGTTAATTAAATTGCCTAAAACTATGTGCCGGTCAAATTGTAACACTTAAAAAAACACGGAGGGAGTAACTTGTGTCGATTCGGGAAAAAAAAAAAAGTTAATACCCGGTCGAGCTCGTACTGCTCGCGGGCTTCGGGAGGAAATTTGGCCAAAAGGTCACGTATGGAAGTACTAACTTTTTTTTTTTATTTTCTCAGGTTGGCAATATTTTGGCGTGTGGCTGTGGAGCTACAAGGCAAATTGAATACTCTGGTCCAGACTTTTCATCTAGGATTGATGAGATGAGCAACGCCTTGAACAGTATTAAATCCCGGGTTCCTACTTTGGGTCTCATATCCAACAACTTGAGGCTACCAACATACGCAGTAGAGGAGCTAAGAAAGACGCGACAGACCTCTTCTTTAGGTGAGCCTCATGTTTACGGGAGGAATGATAGGAAAGAAGATATCATTTGTCCAATTGTTGGAAGATAAACCAACTTATGAGAATTATGTTGTGATCCCAATCGTTGGGATGGGAGGCATTGGGAAGACTACTCTTGCTCAGTTTGTTTATAATGATGAGAAGGTGAAGGCTCACTTTGTTCTTAAGGCATGGGTGTGCATATCAGACGTTTTTGATGTCAAACGCATAACAAAAGATATCATCAATTCGGCTACCCTTGGCAATTTTGATTGTAACAACTTGAATGAAGCACAACAGAAATTGCAAGAAGTGGTAAAAGACAAAAAAACTTGATGATATTTGGAGTGAGGAATATGAGGAGTGGAACCAGCTACAAATACCTTTTCTTGATGCTGCACGAGGAAGCAGAGTCATTGTCACAACCAGAAAGGAAGTCACTGCAAGAGTGATGAATAATCATTATCCCAACACCATCCATTTAGAATGTTTGTCATTATCCCAACACCATCCATTTAGAACGTTTGTCTGGTGAGTATTGTTGGAGTATATTTCAGCAGCATGTTCATTTTGTGTATTCAGACCTTGCTGAGAGGCGGGATGATATTATCCGCAAATGCGATGGACTACCTTTGGCTGCAAAAACTCTTGGAGGTCAACTACGAAAGATAGTGGATAAGGGTAAGCGCCAAAGGATATTAGATAGCCATATTTGGAGTGACAAGTGAAATTTTACCGGTTCTAAGGTTGAGTTATCATCATCTTCCATCTCTTCTGAAGTGTTTATTTGCTTACTGTTCCGTATTTCCCAAAGATTACGAATTTGAGGAGATGGAGATTATCCAACTGTGGATGGCTCAGGGCTTCCTACCAGACAACCCAAATGAAAGAATGGATGATATAGGTCATGATTACTTCAATGATCTGGTATCAAGGTCATTATTTGAAAAAATTCCAGCTTATGAAGGAATGTTCATCATGCATGACCTCATACATGACGTGGCTCAATTTGCTGCAGGCAACTTATGCAACGTAATGGATGGCACGGATACACACACAGATTTCAGAAGAACTCGCCATTTGTTTATCAATGGGCATGTTCAAACCTTGGGAAATCAAATTATGGCTTCTCGGTTGCGTACTCTTCTATGCAAAGATAGTTTGAAAATTGACAATTTTGATTTCTTCAAAAGAATTCGTTACATACGCACTCTATTTCTATCTTCAGATAAAATTGAAGCTTTGCCAGAATGTATAGGTGATTTAAAACAGTTGTGCTACCTTAGTCTTGAATTTGGAATGATACTAGTGTTGCCATATTCAATCAGCAAGCTGTGGAATCTCCAAACACTTTGCTTGAAAGGTTGTTTTAAACTTGAGAAGATTCCATGTATCGAATCGCTGAGAAAACTTCGCCATCTGTACATTAATGGTCTCTCTTTAAAGGAGATGCCGCTTGGAATTGGAAATTTAACAAACTTGCAGACTTTGGATAAATTTGTGTTGGCTAGTGGAGGTGGGTCCCGGGTAAGGGAGTTGGGGAAGTTGAATCAGCTCCGTGGAAGATTACTTATCGTTTCCGGGCTAGAAAATGTGACAGAGGTTGAGGATGCAGAGGAAGCCCAGTTGTGTAAAAAAGAGCATCTAGATGGGTTGAATTTGAAATGGGGAACTTGTACTGATGAGGTTAATGACAAGACTAGGAGAGATGTGGTTGAGAATTTGCGGCCTCATACTTCCGTCAAAAAGTGTAAGTTGGATGGGTACATGGGCTCGACATTTCCAAGTTGGTTGGGAGATCCCTCTTTCATTTACATACATGGTGGACATAAAGTTGAAAAAGTGTCAGAAATGTGAATGGTTGCCTTCACTAGGGAATCTACCCTCTTTGAAAAGTCTTCTAATTGAAAACATGAATGGTATTAAGGAGGTAGGTCTTGAATCTTTGAAGACTCTAAGTGTTTTGAGTGTGAAATCCTGGGAGAAGTGGGTGCACCCATCACTTAATAACAAGGCATTTCCCATCCTTGAAGAGCTTTGTTTAAGTAATTGTCCGTCATTGCAAGGTGAACTACCTCCTCATTTGCCTTATCTTAGAAGGTTGAAAATCAATGGAGTCCAGCAACTACAATCCTTGGAATTGAAGAATTCGTCTTCCTCAACTTCTCATCTTGAAGAAGTCGTTGTTTCGGGATGCAAATATAAAATTTGAAAACCATATCTTTCAATTGCAGCACCCTTCCCAACCTCACTCATCTTTATGTTAGGGATTGCCCAATGCTTGAATCATTGTTTAGCAATTTCGCCTCACTTAAAGTTTTGTTCATTGTAAATTGCCCAGAACTACGCAACTTTCCAGAAGGAGGTTTACCCACAAACCTGAAGGAGATTACAATAAGAGGAACCAAGATAGACAAACCAATAAAAGAGTGGGGATTGCACCTTCTTACTTCCCTCAGTGTTCTTGTACTTATAAATGTAGGCAGCTGTGTTGATACACTAGAGTCCATTAGCTATCCTACCTTTCCCTCTTCTTTGCATAGATTAGCCATAGAGGGTTTCCAAAATTTGAAAACAATATATTGTTCCACTCTTCCCAACTTGTTCTGGGTGAATATCAGAAATTGCCCCAAATTGGAATCCTTTGGTGACAATGGCCTTCCTCCTCCACACATTATAAGTATTGAAGAGTGTGATATGATAGAACAACAATTGACAAGTGATCCCTATGGCCGTATTAAAACAAAGAATGGAACATTCTCGATCATTCTCAATGCCTCTGTCTGAAAATCAACCAAGCCTCAGCCCAATCAAGTAAGTTTTTCATTTTTACATTGACATACATGTTTCATTTTTACGTTTACTTACATTTTGGTATATTTCACTTCTGACAGCTTGTTGATACAACACTCAACAATCAACGGAACTTCACTCAAACAAAAGATTATAAACTGGTTAGCATGAATTCAACCATCTCAGCCTATTTATGCATTTTACTTTGCAATTTTTGTCTCTTTTCAGTCTAATTCTAATCAATCATTCACTCATAGATATATCAAGGTTTTTCTTAAAAGACATTTTCTTTGGCTGATTGGCTGAATATAAATATTATATGCAGTAGCTTATTATTTAAACTAGGCTGATCTTGAAATTTCAGCATACCTGCATTCTCCCTGCCTCTTTCAAGTAAGCTTAATTAATAATGGTCTCACATTCATTTTACATGATACATCAACTTATGTTTTAAGTACACCAATCCTAGAAATCATAAATTCAGTCAAGCTAATTGTTGTCAGTTTTGAGTTTAATCAATCATTCAGTCATAAAATATATTTTAATTGTTTTTTTGCTTTTTTTTAAAAAAATTATTGGGAATATTACAATATATGATTGTGCAAAGTACAAATTTGTTATGCAATGGATCAGTAAGTTTAGATATATAAAGGTATTTTCTTTTAAGGACATATTCTTTAGCTGATTATTATTTTCAGGTTTTCCGTGCACTGGCTTAATTGATACATAAACTAGCTGATCTTGATATTTCTGTTGGAACTTGGTTGTTGTATTCGTTAAGTGATACTTTGTTTAGGAATTCTAAGACCATGTAACATCTATAGACCAGAACATTAGTACATTTATATTTCCTGGTCTTTTTACCTACTTGTATTCTGCATTCACAAATAGATAATTAGTATAGAGTTCTAGAAAAGTGAAGGAATATTATCTTGATGTTGCTTTTCCTAAATATTGCAAATAATAATCGCGGAAGGGAAAACTTGAGATAATAATTGTTTAACTTCAAATCAGATTTCAATTTTGTGTCATTGTGGAAACTAATGGATATTGTAGTCCTATATACCTTTTCTATGTATTTAAAATGATTGTTACAAATTTACCTTTTAGATGTTTTTCAGATGAAATATATATAATGATATTTTTACTATCTTGAAACTATTATTATAGAATAATTGTGCAATGTTCTGATATATTGTAATAACAGGTACATGACCTTCAAATGCAACTGTTTGCTTATATTATGATGCAACTGAAAATCCTAACAGTAGTAACATCTACAATTTTTAAGGTACTGGAAAATTAAGCTTGCCTTCGCTTTCAATTTATTTTTAATCTAAGATGTAATTTCTAGTGCTGCTGATGGTGACCTGAAGAACTATGTTACCTGATAGAAATTATAAATCATGGCATGTGTTTACGGTTCAGATTTTTTTTTTTTTTGGCTCTTTCGTCATTATTTGTGTCTTAAGCTCTAAACTTCTATTTCTGATCTTATTCCTTTGTTCCTTCAATTCCATAATACTATTATTATTATTTTTATTTATTTTTTTTTTTTTCATTTCTCACTTTTGATTTGGTAAATAGAAGAGTGCAACTAAAAATATGGAGGAAGTATACCTTAAGGACTCGAGTAACATATTCTTCAGTCTCCAAGAAAATTAAAGGATTTGTTTTTAATAACAATTAATATGCCATTCATCTGTTCTTGACTTCTGGTAGTTTAATAACAACCAGGTTTTCTTGTTTAGGCACGTGTTATTGCAGAGTTATCTCAAATTACAAAATCTCTTTGCTAATTTATTGTCTTGATTGGTTGATCATTCCAAACTAGTATGTTCTGATGTGGTCATGTTGATTTCATAATCACTAATACTCTTTTTTGCTCTGTTGATAAAGCTTCCTGCTGGTTTTGTTTCCCACCATTAGCATTTCTCTTGGCTACTGATGATTTCAACCTCCTAAAATCTTTTGAGTTTCTGAGGGCCAACTAAAATGTAGTGTTCATTCATGTATCCAACTTAGTTTGCCATGAACAATGCTTGTTAGTTCACTAAACTATGTCAATACTCTTTTTTGCATATATTGTATACTCTTCACTTTTAATTGGTAAGAAGATACTTCTTCTGTATCATGTACTGTGTAAACTTTTGTAAATTAAACAATCACTTTCACCTATTTCACAGTTGTAAATTTTTGTCCTTTTTATGTTATTACAGTTAACCTTTAACGTAGCCAATGACTAAAATAGAAGATACTTGTCTAAATTATGGATGAAAATTTCACAGCCACATCAAACAAAATATTGTATTAACCTATTATCTTTTAGGGAAGGGCAATGGATTTGAATTCTGCATATTGATAATAGATGGTTTATAGTCAACGAGGTATTTTATAATTTTCAAGTATCATCTTTTTTCTTTGTTAACAGGAATTCTGATTTTTGAGTGAATGCTTTTTCATTTGTTTCCAAATTCAATTGTATACGTAGTGTGCAGGTTTCTTACATTCTTTTCTTATCTGTAGCAACCCCAGTGCATGTGATCTGATATTTTTACTAGAAACTGTACTATTTGTATTATTTTATCGCTTGTTTGCTCTAGAAACTTGTAGAAAGCTAGAAACAATAGCATATAATCCTTTGCCTAATAGCATTGCACATACTCTCTTATATCAGGCGACAAACATTATTGGTCTACACTTCTAGAGCTGCAGAAAGTCTGTCCACGATCAGACATTCATCCAAGATTAATGTCATTACAGTTTTGCAAGATGATCAGATCCCTGGCAGAGTGTTTTGGTTATGCTGCAGTCGTACCAAATAGAAGCTTGTCAAAGCTAGAAAGTTTCGACGTTGTTTATTAAATTAAGCAACATTGTGGCCAAGATGCAGTGCTATAGTTCCAAGAACCAACAGATAATGCATTAGGCCTCTGTTTGAGCTTGATGGCAACTTTGGTTAGGCAAGATACTTGAGAGTCAGACCGCTCTATATCTGCAACTACTTCAAGGTTTGTTATTGCCTTGAATTGTTTTCATTTTTCACTTTTGATTCTGGGACAAGTCGACAGGATGCACCTGTAACTTTTACGGTCACATAAATTGAGAATTTGCTTTTCATTGATGTTGTATATGCATTTCATCTGTTTTCAACTTTTTGTTGTCCAAAAAAACCAGGTTTTTTTCTTTTGTTTCACGCCTTTGGTAATTTCTCCTATATTACTGATGATCAATGGCTTTAGGAAGCACTTGTGTCAAGAGTAATTTTTTTGCAATTTCTCTTATACTACTGATATCTAGCTAGCACCAAGTATGCACACACTAGAAAACTGGAAACAATAATGTATAATTTGTGTCTCTTTTGAAATTGCTCGTAATTTCTTTTATCAGGTGACACATTTTTGGGTCCAGAACTGCAGAATGTATCTCCACATTGCTCAATCCTGTTGTTGAGAATGTCCACATTCATTTACAGAGTACTGAGGCGGCGTAATTACAAGCCCTGGCAGAGTCTTTTGATCACAGTTATTGTATGAAGCAACATAGAACCATATGGACATATAGTGGCATTAGACATCTGTATGAGTTTGTGGCAGTGAAGCTCACTTTGGTTAGGCAAGTTACTTGGGACCGATTTCTCTGCAAGTATTTCAAGGTGCTGACTCATGTACATGTTTAATCAGATTTCAAATAATTTTACTTGATTGAATCATAACTCTGATCTGTATGTTGGATTTTGTTTGTTCTTATTTCCCGGGTGTATTTACAAGTCTCCAGAATTTGGATGATTAGACATCAATATGACAATATTCTTGAGGCTTTTTTTCCTAATTACATGTATTTGAACTAGCTTGGGACAACTGGGATGGTGTTATCTTGTTTTATGCATTAGCAAATAAAAATCATAATATATGGTGGATTTTTATGTACATGTATAGTATGTATCAATTCCAGGTTCCAGGATCACCTGGAATCGAAAGGAGACATCTTTCCATGTAGAGTAACATCTTGCCAAGCAATAATTATTGTCCGACCCTACTATACATTGTAATTAAATAATTTTTTTAATGCTTTAACATTGCAATTAAATTAATAAGAGCTACTTTGTATAACAGAGGTTTTTCAGTGCGGCAAGCCACATGGTGCGGCGCAGTTACTTGTATTTTAGGGTTGCTTGTATTCTGGGGTTACTTGTATGGGTTACTTATAGGGTGTTACTTGTATTATGAGGTTACTTGTATGGGTTACTTGTATCGTGGGTTACTTTTATGTATTACTTGTATTATAAGTAACTCCAAACCAAAATCCCATACCAAACAAGTAACACTCTACAAGTAACCCCTGATCAAAACCAATAACAGTTATACAAGTAACCCTAAAATACAAGTAACACCTGGCAAAACCAATAACACCCTACAAGTAACCCCGATCAAAACCAGTAACACCCATACAACTAACCCCATAATACAAGTAACACCTACAAATAACCCATGACAAAACTAGTAACACCCTATAAGTAACTCCGACCAAAACCAGTAATACCCATACAAGTAACCCCAGAATACAAGTAACGCGTACAAGTAACCCCTGACAAAACCAGTAACACCCTACAAGTAACCCTTGCCGCACCATGTGTCTAGCTACATACAAAAATTTGTATTTGTATAAATAGAAAAGGCACTTACTAATAATTGGTCCTTTGTGACTTTGTGAGTACACCCATTTAGAATTTCGTCACTCTACAACTATCCACCACCATTAATCCTGCTATCAATAATTCATTTCCCACCAATCCCAGACAAAGATAAACCAATCATTTCATTCACAATCACTAGATTTTACTAAATCATAAACAAAGTAAAAATCAAATTTTGCTAGTAGCCGATCAAGGATGGCCATTGGCGAGACGTTTCTGTCTGCATTTCTGCAAGTGTTGTTTGAGATGCTGTTGTCAACCGGAGGTAGCCAATTCTTGAAGATGGTTGGTGGAGTTGATCTGCCGAAAACAATCAAGAAATGGAAGATACAGCTTACTAGGCTGAAAGCTCTGCTGGATGATGCTGAGCTGCAGCAATTTCACAGTAAACCTGTCAAGTTATGGCTGAATGACCTCCTAGATTTAGCTTATAACATTGAAGATATCTTGGACCATTTTGCAATCGAAGTTCAACGTTACGAGTTGAAAAAGGCGGAGGAAGATCAAGTTAATGCAGTAGATGATCATTCTCACCATGGGATTCTAGACAGTAGTTTATGCAGTAGATGACCATACAAGTCATACAACAATCCTAACAATCAATGGAACTTCACTCAAGCAATAAGCATCAAGTGACTTTGACGAATTTGACCATTTCAAGCTAGTTATACATGCTTTTTTTTGCTTTTCAAGCTAGTTATAACATAATTACATGACTGGATATAGGGAGTAACCAAAAGACATTTTGCTTGATAGACTTGAAAGTGAAACTGCTTTGAGACACTATAATATGGTGTAAGATGCTATGAGCAGTCAAATTACATGTGTGCTGTAAATTTCATGGTATAAGTTTTATTCATTGTAGTTCCTCCACAAAAAACTCACCAACTGTAAGGGTGGCACGCAGTCAGGAATTGACAGCATCAGTTTTTCAATCCAGACTGGATTCAGGTTGTTCTTTATAACGCGAGTCTTCACTGACTGCAAGGAGAGTCATCAAGACCAAGTTTAATATAAAAGCAAGAGCCAGAAATATACCAGGAGAGCTAACAAAGTCACAAGGGGAAGATTGTTACTTGTTGTCCCAAACAGAGGATGGATGACTTATGGATCACTAGATACCATTTCTCGGATGGCAAGATTCGTGCCTCTGACCACAGTTAATTTAATCAGTCCAACAAATTCAGTCATACCTGGCTGCAATAAGAAAGTACAAGCTCGGTTACAGAGGACTATAGTTTCTAATGAATTAAAGGGTTGAATGTATAAGAATTGTTGTTTTTAAGATGAAAAACATTCACGGAAATAATGTTGGAAAAAAATAACAAAAAATTGTAATTTCTTATGTTTCATGAAATATAAAGACAAACGATCAAATCACAGTTTTTAGAACTTTTCTGCTCGTCCTTTCTTTTTGAGCTATGGCGGCTACAACAAACACATGCCCAATTCCCGTAATGTGAAGGCTGTTTACTTGTTTATGTATTTCTTATCGAGTGATAACACCAGATCCTTGCTTGATGAAGTTTGATAGGTTGACAGACTTCTATATGTTGATGAACTCGTAGGAAGTGAATATGGACACATCAGATACTCATCTGAATTTATAAATTGTTGTAGCTCATAATTCCTCCTACACAAACCCAAAAAAAAAAAATTAAAAAAATAGCATGCCAAATTTCTGCATTTTTGATACCTGATAAAATCAGAGCGCTCCTCTATAGCAGAATCTGGTTTTGGTTTCATTATGTTTCAAGGAATGAAGGCTTCATGCTTTTGTTGGCTACTATATTTCCTCCCATTTCTTCCAGGGCATCTACTTGGTCCTCTGTCCAATCATCTAGCTTCACTGATAAATGTTGTAAATGTAATACAAAGACATACATTCTTCATTGTGATCCCCTCCCCCAAAAAAGAATAAAAGATGGCCATATCCCTAAAACATTGCTATAGTTATTACAATAGGAGCATGGATATGAGGTTAATGTTAATTAGAGATTGTGCAGTAACAAGCTTCCCCAGTTGCAAGATGTGACTATTTTTCTTGGGATATAAGCTATTTTGCCGCTTTTATTTTTTTATAATTATACAGATTAATAATTTGTCTATCTTTAAGGTAATAAACTTTGGAAAAAGCAATGAATTTTATCAAAAATCTAAATGCTCATAAGAAGCAATGAATTTTATCAAAAATCTAAATCACACAGCAATGGCAGTCGGGCCAGTCCTGCAAATCAATTTAGTCACTTCAACAGGACTAAAGATCAGCTGAAGTCGAATTAACTCATAAGAGAATTATAAAGATGGTTTAACCCCAAAGGATTGCAATGAAAGGGTATTCAAAATTGAATCCATATAATTATGCTTATGATGACAACTGCTGTATAAGCTTCAACAAAAGAATATCTACAATACACAAAAGGGTAACCAAAAACAAACAAATCAATGCTTGGAAATTCAATTTTTCTTACAAATTACAACAAGCCAAACATGTACAAAATCAAGAACATGATTCTGAACCTTTGTTCCACACATTAGTTTACCTTCATTATTTTACAATACAATACTGGAAGATATGGTTGTGAACTGTGCCTACCAATCTGTTTGGGGATTTAAGCAGTTTCATGGATATAGAAGGAAATTTTATTGGTCATCACACCCTATGTTTTATGGTAATGCAATTATATGCTCCATCATTAATCAGCCAAAATATAAGTTATCCACAAACATTCATCAATTAAATCTTACATTAATCTACAGTATTTTGAAGTGCAACTGAAACTACTCAATCATTATTACAAAATGTAAACCTCTGTTGCATTTATAGATTATATTAATGTGGTCAACTTTTCTCAAACCCATATACAAGTTTTATTCAACACACTTAGCTATGTCTCTTTAGTTAGATATATCTGCTCATCCCATTTTTTCCCGTAAAACCCTTCATAAAAATAATTTAGTCCACCAATCTTTCTTTATATCTTCTTAATTAGGGGGTTGCATTGCATTTATAAAGATTACAGGCAATCAAATGCAATTATAAAGCACAAAGCTTTTCTAAGCATATTTAAAGAGGTTTGGATGCCTTACAGGGCACATAAGATCTAATCTAGTCATCCACAAACAAAGTTGACATATCAAAGAAGCATATTATTTAGCAAAACACTTACACTTTAAAAAGGAGAGACGAAATCAAAAGAAAGCTCTGTGGCATTTGATAATTTCTAACAATTTAACAAGAAACTGAATGTACATCATCATCTCAGGAAAGGACCTTGGAATTTACCATATTTTGGTTAAGTAATTGTCTTCTCCAAAGCCAGAGACAGTTTCTTATTCTCGTTCTGCTGCTACAGCATGAATTCATCAAACTGCTTAGCTCTTTTTTGCATGTCCTTAATGATCTCATCTGTGGCAGCATAAATCTGGTTAGGCAAATATACTTGCAAGTAATCAAACCATTCTGCTAGAGTCATCATTTCCAGGTCCGGCACATTAATGGCCTGAGGATCTTTGCTTCTATGATAACTCTTGACCTCTGACTCTTTAACAATCTCTTCCATATCTGATTCGTCCACTCTCCCATCATTCAGCACTACATCACATTCACTCTCTACTCCGTTACAAACCTTTTTGTCAGCTTGAGAAGCAGCAATCAGATTGCCATCAGCTTCCTCCACACAATGCTGCTCTCTCACACATTGAGCACCTCCATCCTGATCAAGAACCACCCCCTCCAAAAACTGTACATTAGTCTTATCATCCATCCATTTTTCGCGAGGTTGGTGCCTTGAATTCACCACCTGTTCCGGCAATTCCTTCCCCAACACCTTATGATTCACTTTCTCTTCCAAAACATCTTGATCACCTCCCACACATTGATCACTTTTGCAATGTTGGTGCCTTGAATTCACCACCAGGTCCGGCAATTCCTTCCCCAACACCTCATGATTCACTCTCTCTTCCAAAACAACATCTTGAGCAGCTTCCATTCTCCGATCATCCAACGTTGCATCACTCTCATTGCCACATTAACCATTTTCCTGCTGAATAGTCTCATCCATCGGTTCAGCAGAATTCTGCCCTTTCAAAGACGGCGCACCTCCCTCTTGTTCAGAAACCTCCACCTTTGTTTTATCATCCATCCAATTTTCACAAGGAACTTCCTTTTCTAATGCCTCTGGAAAAGCATCCAGGACATCATCTACACTCCTAATACTATGTTTCTTTATCCTCCCACGTCCACGCCCACGCCCACGCCCACGACCACGACCACGACCACCTCGTGTGGGTTTGCAATCATCCATACCAAAACCCTTGTCTTCCACAACTTCCTCCACCACAGAAATGGGTGGTATTACACCGTCAGCATTATTAGCACGCCTAGTCCTCCTGGGCTGAATAACTTGTTCTAAACCCAGAAATTCAACCTCTCCTCTCCTCCTAGTGTTCTTCTTCCTCATAACCCCACACTCATCTTCATCCTCTTTCTTCGCATCAACCTTCAAATCCCCAATTTCCAACTTGGAACCCTTAATACTTCCCAAATCAATTGCAGCTTTTCTATTTCTAATAATTCTACGATTGTTGGTTTCCTCTTCAATTGGGACAATTTCAACCCTAATTGAGGTAAGCTCGCCAATTTTAATCACATCCCCATTACGAATTTCAAAAGGGGAAAGGGGTTTGAGTTGAGAGGAGTTCAAGATAGTACTATTTGAAGAATCGAGGTCTTTGATTTCCCAGATTCCAGATTCTTTGTTGAATTCGATGACGAGATGATTGGAGGAAATTCCGGGATCTTTGATAGTCAGTTTGTTGCCTTTTACGACTCGCCCAATTCGAACTTTGGAGTTGAATTCTAGGGTTTCACCTTGTCGATGACCACTTTGCATTAGCAGCTTCAGAGTTGATGATTTGGAGGACGCCATTGTTGGAAAACTGGAGGTAGAATTCAAATTAGAAGAATGAGCTATTCAAGTAGGACTGAAAACTGAAAATAATGGAGTTGTTGGCGCTATGAAGGAATTTCAAATTATACTCGCATACGTATAAGTTGGAGGTGATCAATTGAAGGGCCGAACCGGTCCAGTGGTCAAGTTTATATCTCACAATGAAGAGGTTGTGGGATCAAACCTCACTAGACGCACCTTGGCCCTAACCAACCGAGAAATTCCTTATTGACCGAGTAATTCCTGAGTGACTAATTGAGTAACCCCTGATTAATTAACCCCGACCATTCTTTCAAAGAAAATGTGGTTGGCCACACAAATGTTAGTGAATCTAATAAGATACCGAATGCTAATTTTTCTATATAAATCATAAATACAATGTAGTACAAATTATTTTATTTAGACCACATAAATAATAAATGAGTCAAAATTTCTAAAACAGAGGTAATACCACTAATACTTACAGGTAATATTTTTAAGGCAAAAGCCATCAAATGCTCCGAGGGTGTTGGGATACGATAGCTAAAAGTAGAAAGATTAAATTAAAATGAACATTAATTAGATTGATCAGCGAGTGATTTTGTCATACATTCCCAAACTAATATCAATTTAAATAATATTTTAAATGTTTATCTAACGCCCTGGGGCAAGATCAGTTAACACAACAAGCTTCTTGTTTTTAATAAGATTGTCAATTATTAGTCTACCTAAATCTTTTAAACTACTCCATGTCCAGTTTTGAGATTTCTGTGTACTGAGTAGCCTTAGTGCTTCAGTGCTGCTGCATTAGAATGTACAAGAGAGATAAGATTCTAGCTGAGTTTCAAATTTAAATGAATTTACACTTCATGATTACTATTACCTCAATGTCTGTAACTTCTAAACAACAATGATATATACTTAATAACAAAGACAAACACAAAGAAAAGAGGAATTTACATTTCTTTTCTGGTAAGCTCAAAGCTAACTATCCTGTATAGAAAAAAATACGACACAAGCTCTATGCGTGCATTTAAAGGGTCTAAATGACCCCGATTTCCCCCATCAACTTTTTCGAGGGGGTCTAAACCGTTTAAACCTATTCTTCCGTATACAAAATCCTAACAAACAGTATGGATTCATCACAAGTCTACTTCAAGATCCCCTACTATTGAGAGAGTGGGACACATTCGAGTTCAAGTTCTAGGACTCCTCTTTCTACATTCTGCAGTTTGATAGACAGTTGCTGCTTTATTTGGCCATCTACAAGGGAGATAATGCTGTCATTTAGAAGGGTGTTATCTTCGCTTGCAACCCATGTCCCAAGCTGGGTTGCTCCATTTTGTGTTGACTTCTCCAAATCCCTAGCAGCAGAGACCAAGGGTTGGATGTCAATTTCAGCTTGGCCCATAAAATCGTCCGTGGTGAAGGTGTCCTTGTCATACACAAGCTGCAAATTTAAACTAGGGCATAAGTTTTTGAAAGGAAGAACCAAGGGAAAAACACAAAGATAATTGATGTCGAAACAAAAAAAAAAGGTTCAACTATATGAGAGGGCAAAATTGGGAGAACATTTATTCTATCAACGCAATATGCATTCAAACTCAAGAAAGAAATTGGAGCCTTGAAGGTGAAATTGCTTATAGATAATACGAGTATAACACAGAGTAAGATGCTATGAGCAGACAAGTTACATTATATGCGCTGTAAGTTTTTGTACTCGAAAATTTGATCATTGTAGTTCCTCAACAAAAAAAAAAAACTTACCAACTTTAAGGGTGGCAAACAGTCAGGAATTGACAGCATCAACTTTTCATTCCAGACTGGATTCAGGTTGTTCTTTATAACACGAGTCTTCACTGACTGCAAGGAGAGTTATCAAGACCACGTTTAATATAAAATCAAGATCCAGAAATATACCAAGAGAGCTCACAAAGTCACACGGAGAAGATTCTTACTTGTTGTCCCAGACAGAGGATGACATATGGATCACTAGATACCATATCTCGGATAGCAAGGTTAGTGCCTCTGACCACATTTACTTTAATCAGTCCAACAAATTCAGTCATACCTGGCTGCAATAAGAAAAATCAAATACAATGACATAAGACTGCTCTTTAGGACCCAATCAGTAAAATGCAGACGAAAGAACAAGCATGGTATCAGAGGACTAAAAACCCAAAGTTTCTAACAATTAAAGGGTTGAAAGTATAAGAATTGTTGTTTCTAAGATGAAACACATTCATGAAAATAATGCTGAATATAGAAGTATGAATTACAAAGCGAAAAAATGTACTCCATCTTGCATGAAATATAGACTTACCATCAAATCACAGTTCTTATAACTTTTGTGCTCGTCTTTTTTTTTCGAGCTATGGCGGCTACCACGAAACGCATGCCCAATTCCCGTAATGCGAAGGCTGCTAACTTGTTTCTCTATGTGTTTCTTATCGAGTGATAACATTAGATTCTTGCTTGATGAAGTTCGATAGGCTGACGGACTTCTATAGGTTGATGAACATGTAGGACGTGGATATGGACACATCAAGTACTCATCTGAATTTGTAAACTGTTGTAGCTCGTACTTCCTCCTAAACAAGCCCAAAAATATTAAAATAAATAAATAAAATAAAATAAAATTTAGCGTGCCAAATTTCTGCATTTGTAGAAAAAGCATTATGAGGCTTATGACTGTACAATACCTGATAAAATCAGAGCGCTCCTCTATAGCAGAATCTGGTTTTGGTTTCAATATGTTCCCAGGAATGCAGGCTTCATACTTTTTGTTGGCTACTATATTTCCTCCCATTTCTTCTAGAGCATCTACTTGGTCCTCTGTCCAATCATCAAGCTTCACGGATAAAACCTGTATTACAGACATATATTCTTCATCACGATCCCCTCTCCAAAAAAAAGATGTCCATGTTCCTAAATTATTGCTATAGTTATTACAAAAGGAGCCCATGTATGAGGCAAGTCAGATATTGTGCAGTAACAAGCTTCCCCGATAATAGCAAGATGTGACTTCTCCAGGCATAAGCTATTCTGCCTCTTTTATTTTCATAGTAGATTAATAATTCGTCTATCTTTAAGGTAATGAAATTTGGAAAAGCCAACGAATTTGTCAAGAATTTACATGTTCCCTGAAAAAACCTCCATTAGCTAACATCTACCCTTTTTCTGTTCAATGTTGTTGGCTCTAATTACTATTCACAAATGTGGATGCATACAGGTCTAATCACTAAGCACAACCCTCTCGGGTGAATGTTTTACCTTCAAAAGCATATCACTGAAAATTTTCACAATTACTTGTATATAAAAAAGGAGGCAAAAGGAAAAGGCACAAATTAGTAAAGCAAGTTCCTAGTTGTGACATACAGTTCTCATCAACTTCACAAATATTATGTAGGTTCAATGTTTCCTGCCTATCAAGAAAATTCAAAATTGTATACAGTTCAGCTCTAGAAAATAACCGCCTTATTGGGTAATCCATATGCATATCCAATTATGTAATTATGTTATATGGAGTATATAAATATTTTGTACCATACCTTTGTTATATGTACTCCAAGGCTTCTGTGTATACCAGAGCACTTGATACAGATGAATACCCCAACACCCATAGACCTGAAAATCACAGCACAGCACAACACAAATCATTTCACATACCCGTTGCTTTCTTATTTTTACATATGCTTTTACTTCATGTCTTCATCTTCTTTCTTATTCAATTTTCATGACATAATTAACTTTTTCCATACGTTTGATGGTTCTCATCCTATATTTCTTTTGATATATTTATTCTTCATTCTTTTTTACAGATCCTGCTCTTCAAAATATCCAAATTCATAATTTTTATTACAGTATACATAAATTGTCTATTAGTTTTAATCAACAGCTTAACCAAAGTTTTTATATTTACATGTATATAAAACACTACCAACTATCTAACAATGGGAAAAAGATGTTCATTTAAAATACTTACACCCATTTTGGTTCTGGGGTGCCACAGTCTGCACATTCTCTATTTCCACAGTGAGATAGCAATAGCTCTAACTTCTTTTGAGGGCCAGAAGCTGCAAAATAATGTAAGATTTATACATGACAATAATATGTAAAATAAATAATGTGTTCTTTCCTAATGGAAATTTTAGGGAAATTGAAGGAGGATGTTTAATTGAAGGAGGATTCTCTAAGTTAAAGGATGTTGTGACTTGTGAGCCAAGATATGTGCAACAATCAAATAGATCTAAGCGAGTAATCTGTTTCAGCAATATTAGCTGGAATTTTACAGTGAATGATCATACTAAAGATGCAAATCGCATAAACAAACATGCCAAGCAACTTTAAATATTAAAGGAAGACGTTTATAATCTTTCACATGACAATTACTTCAAGAACTAGCAAATGAGAATTTAAATGCAAAAAATGACAGTATACTGTTTCAACAAGGTGAACCAATTTTTAAAACTAGCATAATCTTTCACATGACAATTACTTCAAGAACTAGCAAATGAGAATTTAAATGCAAAAAATGACTATACTGTTTCAACAAGGTGAACCAATTTTTAAAACTAGCATAGTAGCATCATATAGAGAAATTGATTGTCAGCATAATATTTAAAGTACCATGCTTTTCTCTTTTTGATTTGTTGCTTTTACAATGTTTTTCTGTCGGTGCTTTTCCAGAGTGTTGATTTTCGGAAAATTGCTTGTCTGCCTGCTCGTTTGTTGTTTGTAGTCTTTCTGTCTGTTCTTGATCTGATTGTAGTCTTTCTGTCTGTTCGTGTTCTGAATGTAGAATTTCTACCTGTTCTTGATTTGATTTCCGTCTTTCTTTCTTTTTCGGTTTTGACTGTTTTCTTTCTGTTTGCAGTTGTTCTAATTGCATTTCTTCTGCCTGTTCTTGTTCTAATTGTAGTCTCTCTGCCTGTTCTTGTTCTAATTGTAGTCTTTCTGCCTGTTCTTGTTCTGCCTGTAGTCTTTCTGCCTGTAAAAGT